GATGATGGCCATAAAGATGATGGTGATGATGGGGATCATGGTAGTGATGATAGTGATGTTGGTGACAACGATAAAAATGATGGTGATGATGGTGATGATGATGATGGTGCTGATGATGGTGATGGTGATAACGGTAAAGATGATGGTTATGATGATGGTGATGGCAATGATGGTGATGATCAAGTCTTATTTATTTATAAACGATATATACTTGTGCTAACCTTTTCCTTATTTTGCGTCAGAGCTCTTTCCAGCACTTCATACTCTCTCCCACTTTCCAATTCCACATTTTCATATTTCCCATTAAACTTCCCATTTCCAAGAGTGAATATCTGTGGGAATGACCCTTTGTTGGAGTATACTTCTGCTGTTATATAGTAGCGTAGATCTTTTTCTTTTGCAGTTGAATAATCTGTTAAATTGGCTGCATCGATAGAACTTTTATCCAACTGTCGAACTATTAGCTGATAAGCCCTGGAATAAGAAAATATCCTAKTATAAGTATTTAGCAAACACAGCAGACACCTGAGCACGTTCTCGCGCCCCGTCGTCTTCAAAAATGACACATTATGGTACAGTGCAATATGATTTGGCGCTCCTCTATGTCCTGGTGATGTATGATGCTAGCTTTCTCAGACAATGGATTGGATCTACTGCAAGGGAAACCAAATATATAGAAACCTTATCATTATCAGCCTAGCCAATAACAAGATGACTACACTCTAAAATCACTGCCAAATAAGTATTAAAATAAGTAATGAAGTCAAAAATCATAATTACCAGATTTGCCCATTGACATCAGAGGCAGGCCATATGGTCACATGTGCGATGGACGTATTGAAGTTACCTAGCGGTGGTGTCACTAACGGTGCAGGAGGGGCTAAAAACGACAAAGATGACAGTATTATGCATATACTTTATTTAAAATCTTAGCATGGTTATTTCAAAAAAGATATTTTCGAGAAACAGATAAAAGAGTTATATGTTAAGTGTATGCTACAAAAGAGTGTTGATGCGCAACTAAGGCCCCGCGTCCACACGTCTCCTCTTTTACTCCGACGAAGGACTAGCGTCCGAAACGTCAGTAAGTTTTTTCATCTTTTCACGGTGTATAATTTACCTTTTCATCATTACCGTCTCCAGATTAGTCACGTGGTTGCTGAGGGGGGCAAATCATTCCAATTCGGGAGATTCTTTATTAATGTAATCTTAATATTTTCCAGTAATTATAAGTTAGCATTTTTTAAATGAATTAATTTACAAATTTGAAAGTTGATTCCAAACTGAACTACATGCAAGTTTTTTTAGTGATAGCTAAAAAAATATTTGGCATGAAACTAATATTTAATATCATAAATCTCAAGGACGAGCCGATCTTTTCAAAATGTTCTCTTAATTCTTCCAATGTTACCCCCTGGAATTCGAAGACCGCATGGCTAATTTGTGTTAAAATATGAAAACAAACATGGCGTCTATCTAGAATATGACCTATTGCTTTTAAGCAATAAATTAAAATTGAAATAACTTAAAATTTACTTAATAATACTGATAGTCGCCTAGTATTACTAACCATCAATGAACGTGTCTGTTGATATTTTAACGCTCGTATCTCCTTCTCCACACTTTGATGATGCAGAAACCCTGAACTCATGGTGCGTGTCTGGATAAAGGTGTTGCAACGTGAGCTTTGGTAGTGGATTGATTGTTACTCTCTTTCCACTGTGTATAAAAGTGTTATTATATCGCTTGTGCCCCAAGAAATATATCTGTAATGAAATCAAAGAAATGTAACGTAAATTTGAAGAAGGATATAATTAACGATTATGATGATGATGATACTGATGATGGTGATGATGATGATGGTGACCATGATGATGAAGATGAGGATGAAGAAGAAAAAGATGATGATGATGGTGGTGGTGATGATGATGATGATGGTGATGATGAAGATGATGATGGTGGTGATTATGATAATGATGATGATGATGGTAATGGTGGTGGTGGTGATGATGATGATGATGGTGATGATGAAGATGATGATGGTGATGATGATGAAGATGATGATAATGATAATGATGATGGTGGTGGTGATGATGATGATGGTGAAGATGATGACGATGATGATGGTGATGGTGATGATGATGGTGGTGGTGATAATGATGATGGTTATGAAGGTGGTGATGATGATGATCATCATAATTCGTTTGAATACATGTTCACTTTTGATATGTATTACTAGCATGCATGCATTTGTAAAGAATGATATTCATGCTTGCATTCGAGCAAAGTTGCAAATTGTTACAAGTTAAATGTTCTACCCACGGTGTACTGTCTAATATTCTCAGCACCCGATCCTGGTTTCTTCCACTGTAAAGTCACTTCTCTCTTGTCCCTAAATACCACAATCACATCTCTTGGAGGATCTGGTGCTGCAACCAAGGAAGAATATTACATTAAATATCCCACGATTCACGTCTTATTGAATTGAGAAGGAATTATATACAGATATGGCAACCATTTTGAAAACTATTGTTCTGCACTGACTAGCGACTGACTAGCCTCTCAAACACGTGAAAACGCTTTTGTGTTTCCACTTAGACATTCAAGACTCAGTAAAAACGAGGGTTTTAGGAATCCTGTGGACTCCCCAATTGCTCCGCTACAATCTCCGCGCACGTCCACAGGAATCCTGAAACACTCGTCTTTACTAAGTCTGGAGAGAAAAGTGGGACCACTTGCAGTCTACGAGGCAAGTCAGTCCACAACAATAGTGATTCAATCTCCGCGCACGTCCACAGGAATCCTGAAACACTCGTCTTTACTGAGTCTGGAGAGAAAAGTGGGACCACTTGCAGTCTACGAGGCAAGTCAGTCCACAACAATAGTGATTCAAATTGGCCGCAATATTTCAATACGGTGTATACTAAGCTTATTTCTACGACCCCGCACTAATCTAGCATTTATCAAATCATCAAATTTTTATCAGTATTTATGTAAAGACGATATTTAATTCATTCTTATAAGGTCTATTTCATTGGATTTCCGTGCAGTTCAATTTACGAAGATGCGTGGCGCCATAAAAATACACGTATTCTTAAAATGCACTGCGCGTGCAAATAATATTCTGCATTTGATGAGCGCAATGTTACATGCACCGCTAAAAGAATAAGTTATTAGAATCGAGATCATCTTCTGAAATATGTTGCGCAACAAGTTTCATCGTATCAACACGACCTGCAATGATAATTGCTGTATGTTATGTACCGATATGAACTTCTTAATCTTTATATTTGATACATGCAGGAAAAGCGGCTACTTGTGATGTCCAGAGAGCTACTTGCAAACAAGGTTAATAACTAAGTTAAAACTACAGCAAAATACAGCAAAAATTGATAACAAAGGTGATGCAGCAAAAGTTGATTTTGTGACATCCCTTGAAAACAGTCTGTTAAAAGAGAATGTTTAAAACACGAACGATAATGGTTACCTACCAGAAGTATAAAAGATAAAAGGTGTGCTGTACGGACCAGGGCCAGCATTTGTATACCCACGAACAGATGCAGAATACTTGGCACAAGTTGCAAGGTTCTCMAGCACTGTTTTAGACCCATTTATCTCCTTCGAACTGACCACTTTRACTGGCTTGTCTGCTTGCATGATTAGAGTCCACGTCACCTCGTACTTTGTGATTGGTCCGTTTGCTTTGTCACGTGGGATTGGTTGCCAAGATACCACGAAATTTGAAGGGTCTTGTTTAGTGACTTCSCTTATTGATGGAGGTATACTAGGAGCTAAGAAGAATAGTGGTGAATCAAAAAACTGATTTCGCATAGAATACTCAGGTTTTCAAATCTGTTGCTCAGGGTAACCTCGATTTTGTGCCGTAGAATATTCACGTGTTACAGTGAAGGTCCGTGGAACTTTATTATAGTATTGCATGTCAGTCGTAGTTGTACTTTTTTTACGTTTAGGTACCGTTGGTTTTGTAAATGTTTTGATACTAAATTAAGGCTAACCCTAAGTAACAAACGTTTGTTATCAAGGAATACAGCGATATTTCAGAAATTTGAAAAGTCATCTAAAGCCGCCATCTTGGATCCCAAAATATCCCTTGGGGACTGAGTTCGTACCAGTCCTTCTCTAAAGACGAACCATCACTTACCATAGACAGGTATGATAATCTGTCTCGCTGAAGTGTCATTTCCATCTTTGACAGTGACAGCTTTGACKCGAAACCAGTAGGTCAGACCACCTGACACAGGTAAAGTTACAGCCATTATCGATCCTTTTACAGTGGCCTTGTTTGACACAGAAAGGCTATCATTATGGCTGTATGATACTACGTAAGTTTTGATTATACCATTGGGGAACGCTGGTGCATTCCATGTTAGGTGTACATGTGGTCCTGTGGTATTAGTTGGTGGAATGACTGATGTTTGAAGATTGAGAGGAGGTGATGGAGCTGGTGAAGGAAATACAAAATATTAACATGGGGTTCCTGTGGTATCATAGGAGCTGGTGGATGAAATGCAACAAATATTAACACGGGGTTCCTGTGGTTTCCTAGGAGCTGCTGGATGAAATGCAAAATATATTAACACGGGATCCCTGTGATATTAGTAGGTGACATGACTGATGCTTGAAGATTGAGAGGAGGTGATGGAGCTGGTGAATGAAATACAAAATATTAACTTGGGGTTCCTGTGGTTTCATAGGAGCTGCTGGATGAAATGCAACAAATATTAACACGGGGTTCCTGTGGTATTAGTAGGTGACATGACTGATGCTTGAAGATTAAGAGGAGTTGAAGGAGCTGGTGATTAAATGGGATTCCTGTGTTAGCATTATGTGTAAGGACCAATGAAGGTCATGCCATTGTGCTGGTTTGTTTTTCTTTACATATTGCGGTGCGGGTTTCAATCAGCTATYAAGAGTCTTTGAATCTCATTATCTGCTCCAAATGGTGTAGTCAAACACTGACCACCATGTGCTGTCAAGCAGAAAGAATTCTATTGAAAACTTGCRATGCAGCTCAATGATAAATATTCCACACGAGACAGGAATATGCARGAATTGCAATAACACGCTATGTTTGTAAAGGCCGGTTTAGAMGGTACGATTTTCGCCTACAACTATCATATACAACACGCTCGCGTCTGTCGTAGGCGAGTTGTAGGCTTGATTTACRCGCTACGACTCGAGTTGTAGGATGGCGCGGGCGTGTTGTATACKATAATTGTAGGCGAAAATCGTACCGTCTAAACCGGCCTTAAAGAAGAGGATATATCAAGCTATACTGAGTACCAGTTAATTAATATAAGAAGAAAAATGTTTCCTACCATCTTGTAATGTTCGAGCAGTGACGCTCATTGTATAAGGACCATCCCGTATGGTGTAGGCCAACACCTTGAAGCTATATGACGTATACTTCTCAAGACCATCCACGATACATTGCAGTGTATCATTACCAGGGATATTCTTGATYAAAGAGGGACCAGAGGACGTTTGATAATGAACCTTCGATCCTCTTATGATGCCATTACGACTCTCTCTAGGTGGTAGTCTCCATGATAAACGAACAAACGTTGAACTAAGCACTGTGACGAGTAACTGTTGTGGCGGTAGGCTTGGAGCTGTAAAAATCAGGAATTCAGTTCTTGAACTACATTTCACGGCTATTTCAAAAGCGTTTGGTGAAGGTTTTGTTGCACGTTGCACATTTCAAATACATGTATTTTGCATAGAAAGCATCACTATGCATTACGTCTCGGACGTTTAGATAACGAGATCACAAGAGATTAATAAGGTATAGAGATGCTATGTAAGAACATCAAACCCATGAGGTTTGCACCAACAAAGGAAAAATTTTAGCTGGTTGATTAAATTTAGTCAACATGGCGGCTATTTTTGGAATGCAACCATTTGACTAAATATCCCTCGAAATACAAATAACAATGAAACAGCTTCATGTGCTGGTTGATCTAACAAGAGAAGCTAATGAGGAATGCTTTGTTATCGTCAACCACGATGGTGGCTATGACGCAACATGCACCACAAGAATAACCCCACATGATAAGCACATTTTTAAAACTGAATATTCTTACCGTCTTCCAGCGTTCGCACAACAACTGCACTTAAAGGACCATCTCCTTTGTCATTGAAAACGTTTATTTTGATGCGATACAATGTCCACTTCCTTAGGTTACTGATAGTATAAGCACTTTGTTGACTTCTAATAACTATTGTCGTTTCATCATTTCCTATTATATTCTCATAGATTATCTTGTATCCTCGTAGTGGACCATTGATTCCAGATGTCGGAGGCTTACAGGAAGAAAAAAGATGTTATCTGTAACGGAATGGTGTACATCTTCTATTGTTACGGTTTACGTTTCCTTACTCACCTGCCAAGTAACAAGTACGCTTTGTGATGACAAGACTTTTACTACAACTGYTTTTGGTACGGCGTCTGGTACTGCGGAGACATATATCAAAGATATTAAAGTAATTGGGAAAATRCAGCTTACATTAATTTAAAAGTTATTGCGACAACAGTTCTGAGTYTTATAGTCTTGCTTTGAGGCGTTTCATCTCATCTACAGTATATAGACCCATTGCATGTGACGTCAAAGCAGCTCAATTTGGAAGACAATACAAAAGAATTTCAATCTCAAGAGAATTGGAAACCTATTGTTATGTCCTTCARATTCAGCTGCAAAGAGCTATTCGTCTAAGCGCTTCAAACCAATCAAAGCGCAAAATTTCTAACAGCTGTTTCATAATGTTCATGAGGTACAACTCAAAATATCTGAGAGCAATATCGYATATTAATTCCTTCGTGTACAGACTTACAAGCAGAAACTGTCGTGAAGTTCATTGGCTGACTCCACTCTCCATGACCTACTGCGCTGACAGCTTTTATCTTGACACTGTAGTTGCTATAGATACTGAGACCTGTGATCACGTGACTTAAGGCAGGAGAAGGCACATTTATTGTCTGTGTTTTYGTACTGTTCTGGTACTGTATTATATATGCTGTCACTGTTGCCTGCGAAGGTCTTTGTACTGACTGAGTCCATTTTACTGTTACTGACATTGATGTGATATTGTCTACAGTAAGCATCGCAAGGATCGCTGGGTAATCTAGCATAAAATAGGAAACAGTATACATTAGCTTGCAGTTTTCTATGACTCAGCTTGCCACATTTCCGCGCCAAAGTATTTACAAATACTAACGGTAAAGTATATAGAATAMACAACTTTAACAATACAATCATTTTGAAATTCCACTGATCTTAATTGGAACACATGAATATTCTACGCGTGAGCAACAGAGTGATTTGAAACCGTTCAGTKATCACAAATAAYAGTTCCAAGCCGAGGTTGGAGTTGCCGYGCAAGATAAACTATGATTTCGTTATGCGCGGCAACTCCAGGCTCGACTTGGAACTATTATTCTTGGTCACTGAACGAAACTGTAAAAAGGAGTATTGTYACAGCACTAGGTTATGTAGCTTACCGAGAATTACTGTGACCCCAGCACTTTGTATAGCATCAGAATCAGTGTTAACGTTTTCATACATGCCTCTACAGACATATGGCTTGCTGCATACCACAGAAGAAGACCTCTCGCAGCTAAGGAACGATGTAACCAACAATATCAAAATGAACATATAATATACTTATACTTTTAAAGAGTGTAGTAGCCAAAGACTGCGGGGGCGAGAATTGAAGCTAAAAAATGGTTAATTTATACCTCCAAAGGAGGACATAGGGAAAGCAAGACCCTTTTTTATTGATGGGTTGCAAGCATTCCCAAGAAAATTAAAAGACAAAAACATGGCGGCCATTGTGGTACCGTTAACAATGGATGCTAATGAAAAATCTTTTGTTAAATGGTACCAACATGGCCGCGATGACGTAACGTGCAAACGAAGAATAGACTTCATGCCATGTCCAATCTCTTTCGAGAATGATTCCGGGATGATTCCGCGCGCTATCATTGGTWCGACAAATCTCGATCTTCAATGCCGTGCCATAACTTTGCTGCATCCAGTAATTTTACATAGCAATACGAAACTCTAAGTCAGTAAMGTACATCGCTTCCCTCCTCCCCAAAACACACACACAAAGTCCTATGTAACTTACTGGTACGTATTGAGTGCATCATCAGCTGTCGTATAGTTCACTCTCAATGTAGACTGCTTGACTCCATTAGCACCACGCACCAGACCAGTAGATTGACTGGTGATGTCAGTATTACCAGAGTACCATTTGATGTACTGTATTAATGGTTCTTGTACAATACACACCAGATCTACATAGCTATTGGATGCTGCTGTAAGGTTTTGATTGGTCAGAGCTGATATTACTGGTCTGGAAGCTGGACAGTTGGTAAAGTGAAATCGTTGAATAGCGTTTAGTAGAGAAATTTTCCAACAGAACTGTGACGTCATTCGTCCGTGAAATTCAAAATAAAAGGCAAAACTCTGAAGAATTCTGCTGACTTTTTCTTCATGAAAGGGTTTTTTCTTTAAATTTATCTTTTTTCAGATGGAAGTTTACATAAGACCTTCATAATAACTCTTTGTTYTATTTTCGCCCTTTTATTGATGAGCAATAGACCCATTCAACTTGGGTGCGATGTTTCTCATTTCAGACCACGTATCATTTCCAAGATTATCATTTCTTTGTTTAGCGTTGTTCATGAGAAGACACGTGAATATTAATACGAATCAAACTATTAAGAATCTTGGTCTCAAGGGAATGATACTTGGTAATGATCGAAAACATTAAAACGAAACTGAATGGACAACTTCGACGATACGGCGACCATCTTGCCAGAGACTAAAACAAAACAAAGATGACAGATCGTTTCTTTCTTTTATGGATAAAGGTGATTGATGTTGTATTCTCTTGAGTTGAGCTTTTACGTCAATCGATGTCATTACTGTAACAAAGCTTTATTTGCCCCCTGGACGCCCCATAATGCCTTGCAATCCAAGCTGGCCGCCATATCGTCGAAGTGGTCCATTGAAAAGGACTATTGGAACCGGAAATTACGTCACAACTTTTTTCAGGTTCGTTTGTGCATCCAAATTCGAGGGGTCACAAAACANACAATTTTTGATTTATGCTCATCTGAAATTGCAAAATAAGTAACCATTCACTTTGTCTATGGGATTGTTGTATGGAATATTCAAATATCTCTTATAAATCTTTAAGTCTTTTGAACTAGCAGCCAAAAGAAAGATTTTTGTCTGTTCACTCAGCCATTGCCAACGATGGTAAAAACAATGGTAAAACAAAGGATTGTGCACGGTCACGCTTGAAAAAAGTGAGCAAAGACCTATAACAATAGGTTTCATAACCATTCCCCTCCATTAACTATGTTTTAAAGAATGTAGTAGCCAAAGACTGCGGGGGCGAGAATTGAAGCTAAAAAATGGTAAATTTATACCTCCAAAGGAGGACATAGGGAAAGCAAGACCCTTTTTTATTGATGGGTTGCAAGCATTCCCAAGAAAGTAAAAAGACAAAAACATGGCGGCCATTGTGGTACCGTTAACAATGGATGCTAATGAAAAATCTTTTGTTAAATGGTACCAACATGGCCGCGATGACGTAACGTGCAAACGAAGAATAGACTTCATGCCATGTCCAATCTCTTTCGAGAATGATTCCGGGATGATTCCGCGCGCTATCATTGGTTCGACAAATCTCGATCTTCAATGCCGTGCCATAACTTTGCTGCATCCAGTAATTTTACATAGCAATACGAAACTCTAAGTCAGTAAAGTACATCGCTTCCCTCCTCCCCAAAACACACACACAAAGTCCTATGTAACTTACTGGTACGTATTGAGTGCATCATCAGCTGTCGTATAGTTCACTCTCAATGTAGACTGCTTGACTCCATTAGCACCACGCACCAGACCAGTAGATTGACTGGTGATGTCAGTATTACCAGAGTACCATTTGATGTACTGTATTAATGGTTCTTGTACAATACACACCAGATCTACATAGCTATTGGATGCTGCTGTAAGGTTTTGATTGGTCAGAGCTGATATTACTGGTCTGGAAGCTGGACAGTTGGTAAAGTGAAATCGTTGAATAGCGTTTAGTAGAGAAATTTTCCAACAGAACTGTGACGTCATTCGTCCGTGAAATTCAAAATAAAAGGCAAAACTCTGAAGAATTCTGCTGACTTTTTCTTCATGAAAGGGTTTTTTCTTTAAATTTATCTTTTTTCAGATGGAAGTTTACATAAGACCTTCATAATAACTCTTTGTTTTATTTTCGCCCTTTTATTGATGAGCAATAGACCCATTCAACTTGGGTGCGATGTTTCTCATTTCAGACCACGTATCATTTCCAAGATTATCATTTCTTTGTTTAGCGTTGTTCATGAGAAGACACGTGAATATTAATACGAATCAAACTATTAAGAATCTTGGTCTCAAGGGAATGATACTTGGTAATGATCGAAAACATTAAAACGAAACTGAATGGACAACTTCGACGATACGGCGACCATCTTGCCAGAGACTAAAACAAAACAAAGATGACAGATCGTTTCTTTCTTTTATGGATAAAGGTGATTGATGTTGTATTCTCTTGAGTTGAGCTTTTACGTCAATCGATGTCATTACTGTAACAAAGCTTTATTTGCCCCCTGGACACCCCATAATGCCTTGCGCACCAAGATGGCTGCCATATCGTCAAAGTGGTCCATTGAAAAGGACTATTGGAACCGGAAATTACGTCACAACWTTTTTCAGGTTCGTTTGTGCATCCAAATTCGAGGGGTCACAAAACAAACTAAAATTAAAAGACAGAATGTGTCTAGTTATTCATATACTTACYATAKTCACATCCATAYAGTTCTATTCTCATGCAGATRGCCKTGTTCCATGTCTGAGGTGTAACTCTGACGTGCCTGGCTGAATAAGCATGACTCAGCCATCTTACAACTACAGTGCTTTTGTCAACGTTGCCTTGCAGCACCTATAGTAACACATTAAAATAGGCTTATTAAAATATATGAGATGGATCTTATAGACAAAGTTATAAAAGTCATTAAGATAGGTTGCTATTAATAGAATTCCCGTTCTCGCCCATGTGGTAGAGAGAAAAACACTTATAATGGACGAATATTCTGTTTAAGGAGCTAGAGCTTCATGATTTTGAAGTTCCTAATCAACTCATAAACCGCCATATTTGTCCATTAACTTTCTTTCTATATATTTTTTACTTTTGTTTTGCTTCTCATATATTTTGTTTCTTTGTTTAATTATTTTTGTTAGCTGTTTTGCATTGACCAAAACATATAACTTTTTCAATTATAAAGAAGGTCCTTTCAGTGGATGTGAAATAGTCATGGTCTAGTGGAGTTCACATCCAGTGAAAGGACCTTTTCGATTATGAAAAAGGTCCTTTCAATGGATGTGAAATAATCGTGGTCTAATGAAGTTCACATCCAGTGAAAGGACCTTTTCGATTATGAAAAAGGTCCTTTCAATGGATGTGAAATAGTCAAGGTCTAATGAAGTTCACATCCAGTGAAAGGACCTTTTCGATTATGAAAAAGGTCCTTTCAATGGATGTGAAATAGTCGTGGTCTAATGGAGTTCACATCCAGTGAAAGGACCTTTTCGATTATGAAAAAGGTCCTTTCAATGGATGTGAAATAGTCAAGGTCTAATGGAGTTCACATCCAGTGAAAGGACCTTTTCGATTATGAAAAGGGTCCTTTTAATGGATATGAAATAGTCAAGGTCTAATGCAGTTCACATCCAGTGAAAGGACATATTTCGATTATGAAAAGGGTCCTTTTAATGGATGTAAAATAGTCATGGTCTAATGCAGTTCACATCCAGTGAAAGGACATATTTCGATTATGAAAAGGGTCCTTTTAATGGATGTGAAATAGTCAAGGTCTAGTGGAGTTCACATCCAGTGAAAGACATATTTCGATTATGAAAAGGGTCCTTTCAATGGATGTGAAATAGTCATGGTCTAATGCAGTTCACATCCAGTGAAAGGACCTGATTTGAACCATATAGAAGCAATACGCAGAGTACCTTATCAATGTTGCGCGCAGCTCTATAGGTGTTCCACAGATTACCATCCATACTGTAACTGATAGTGTAGGTCCTCACCCACTTATCCATGGTGTGGTCACCCTGTGTTGCTATACCTGTCACTGTCATCACTTGTCCCAGGTCAATCTGTATGTACTCTGTGTTAGATGACGTGCTACTACACCACGAGCTGTTGCCATAGAGACGACCATGTGACGCAGTATGGGTGTNGAAAGGACCTTTTCGATTATGAAGAAGGTCCTTTCAATGGATGTGAAATAGTCAAGGTCTAATGGAGTTCACATCCAGTGGAAGGACCTTTTCGATTATGAAAAAGGTCCTTTCACTGGATGTGAAATAGTCATGGTCTAATGGAGTTCACATCCAGTGAAAGGACCTTTTCGATTATGAAAAAGGTCCTTTCAATGGATGTGAAATAGTCATGGTCTAATGGAGTTCACATCCAGTGAAAGGACCTGATTTGAACCATATAGAAGCAATACGCAGAGTACCTTATCAATGTTGCCCTCAGCTTTATAGGTGTTCCACAGATTGCCATCCATACTGTAACTGATAGTGTAGGTCGTAACCCACTTATTCATGGTATGGTCACCCTGTGTTGCTATACCTGTCACTGTCATCACTTTTCCCAGGTCAATCTGTATGTACTCTGTGTTAGATGACGTGCTACTACACCACGAGCTGTTGCCATAGAGACGACCATGTGACGCAGTATGGGTGTTAAGGTGAGATGATGACGTCATTTGACGACTCTGAAGACTTCCTCCCATTTCAATTCCAAATGGAGAACTACAAGCTGATCATGAATGCGCAAGTTTCAAAGAAAATACTAATCATTAATCATACATCGTTCAACTTTAATTTGGCAGATCTAGGGGTGAGATCACAGGAGCTCAAGACCTCCTCCTCGTTTCTTATACTTAAGACCATTAATTCGATGGATCCACCATGGGAGATATAGTTGATATAATGTATTCAGAAAGTCTGTTGTAATATACTGTCCTTCTATCTATTGTTTAAGGTGTGATTCATTTGTATTTTTATGAATACATTGCATCAACTGCTGGCTACGCAGGCCATCCCCATCAACCATACGAACCCGTCGCTTGAGCGACCACTAAACAATGGCTCCATGTAAGGTTGAACCTGATGTTTTCATACATTTACTGTATATTATCAAGTTCAACTACGCCTGGGGCCATTTAGTGGTTACACAAGAGAATTTATGAAAGCTCTCTTGGTTACCTGATGATATCCCGTAGACCTCTGCTTTCATTGTGGGCCATTGATTATGGTCTGTAGGATAGAAACGTAGAAACTTTGCTTTGGTTGGCTTGGAGAGAGCATTGGTCACAACGGAATAGCGTTCTGTATTGCCAACAAATTCCTAGAGAGATATTCGTTATTAATAAAAGAGGGTTGTTTTTGAAGACAGATTAAGAAATGTTGATTTAGAAACGCTCTGAGCCGGTCTGAATGGGAAAATTTTCAAGGAGGTATGCGAAAGAAAGATAGGCATATTGAAGAACTCATAATTATTCTAAGCGGTGTGAACCTCCCCTTCCCTCCCCTCATCTCCCCTACTTCGGAAATCCCTGGCCATGCCAGATCCTCCCTTGTTCTAAATCAGTCCATGGACACCCTTATCTTGATATGCATTACCTTGTCAATATTATTTTCTTGGTAATAATTCCAATTCACATTATCCAAGGACACTCTTATCTTGTATTTCTTTACGTATTCTACATTTAATCCACCGGCGCCTTGCGTGGATACAGCGCACACGTACACCAACGAACCCAGATCTATCTGTAGCCAATCACTACCGGATGCTGTCTTCGGTCCCCAGGCTTGGAATAAGAGAAGTCTACCGTGACTCGGCCTGTAACGCGGGTCGTAATAAGAGCTAGCAGTGAAGCGGTGATCAGGAATCGTACTAGAGTATGATAAACCTACAGAGATAGATGAACATCCTRAAAAATATGAATGATYCGATTAGTATAGCACCACGAAAAAGAATAAATCTGGATTGCAGCCATACGGGATTCCGCGCGGTGATTTTTGGCGCGATTCAGTTTTTTCTTTATYAAATAAAATCMAATKTYTT